TTATTAATAATGATGATTAAAAAAATCAAGGGCTATACCAGCTTGATTGCCCGCGTATCCTTTAAAGAGGTAGCGACATCCTAGTAAAAGGAATAAGTCCCAAATTTTTCAGGTAAAAATTTCAGTTGGTTGGGTCTGTATAGCCTTTTAAATTTTATAGATAATTATTATTTTTAAGTAAAAAAACTCAATACTTATTATTATTTCTGAGCGAAAAAATAAAAATCTCAAAATAATCATTATTTGTGACTGAAAAAAGAAATTCAAATATCTTCGTTGAGCGAAAAAACAAAACTCAGTAATAAATATTATTTTTAAGCACAAAAAGTAAAAATCTTAACATAATGATTAAATGTGGATTTAAATTATTTTACTCATAATGATTACCGTCCCTGCAAAATATAATAAACACTGTAAGTTTTTTCTTGTTAAAAGAGCGACTATTTATTAATTATCAAAGGTTTTTCGAAATTTTATTTGTAAAACTAGTAGTTCGTAAATCTTATTGATACATTCGATAAACAAATTGAGCTTTTATCATATGCACAGCTATTGATTTTACAAAAGAAATAACTTTAAAAGATATAATTATAATATTTATCATATTTGTATACAGTTATACTCACCTGGAATTTGCAGCCACCCGCACTTGTATCGCAACCTCAAGTTGAGGTTCCCACCCAACTTCCAAAACCTATTAAACAAGAAAACCCACTTTTACTGTCGCACATGTAGTTAAAAGTGGTTGAATATAAGCACAAGACACAGTTTTTGAAAAAATATTAAATGCAAAAGTCACAACTAAACAGAAATGTCAAGGACAGTGATGTTACTCATACTTTTTCAGCAAAGTACAGAAAAGGAGTTTTTCTAGTGTAGATTTTGTTCAAGAGGGCATCATTCAAAACTGGGCTACGGAATTTGTCAAAATTGCAACAAATACTCTTCAACTGACATCACCTTATTTTTATTTCACCATGGGTTCTCATAGAAAAAAATTTTAAGGCGAAGCTAAATTTGTTCTTTATGCCATGTCCCCAGCTAACCACGTAGTTATGGCTATTGAGTTGGTTATCCCGATAACTCACTTGATTTAGCGTAGTTTCGCCATATAAAAGTGACAGCACTTAACTGTTTCACTGAAACCACATCGAAAGTCTGATACAACCATGTGTTTTTCCGGCATCAGTGGGTGATTAGCGTTAAAATGTAAAAAAATTCGTTCCCTCCTAGTGTTTGGATTTAAATAAGATCAGATTAGATTTACTCCGGTTTTTGAAAAAAAAAATTGAAATCTACTCCGCTTGACTTTAAATCTGTTCGGTTTTTTTTTTTTCATTCATGTTATGCCCTCTGGGGGCCGTTTTTTGAGGGTTCACCACCGGTTTCATTAAAAAAATTGAAAGTTAGCTAAATCTCACTGTTAAAAAGTAACTCTTTCATAGCAATGCGTCAATAAAGTAACTTTATTATTTTTTATGTATGGCTGTAGAAATTGGCGGATGCGGAACTTTATTTAAGTTGTTAAAAAATACATGTACCTAGAATAGAATTTATTTAAAGTAGAAAAGGTTTAGATCCTATTGCTCTTTAAAAAATTAAGTGTTAGATATTTTCTACATTATAGAAAATGCTAAAAATTACCTAAATATGTAACATATTATCCTTACATTGGCTCGCGTTGCATAAATAGAAAATATTTAAGTCAAACAATTAATGTCAGAAACGAAAATCAAAAAAAATCAATCTAGTACAGAAAATTTTTTTTTGCTCCGAGTTTTGCAGCGATTTAGTCCTGAATCGAGTTTTGTAGTTCCGAACACTGTTCTCTAGTTTTATAAACCTCAAACCGAAGTGTGTACAGCAATAGTTAGTGATGTGGTTAAGTTCGATTTGAGATGGTTAACTTTTTGGTGGGGACATGGTATTAACTTCACTTCAATATTTCCAATTAAAGGTGTTTTGCTGTTACATAGAAAAAAGTTCAAAAACGCTAAGAAAATCTTTTCTTAGCAATAACGAAAACGGTAATTCATTGTCATCTAGAATACATATATATAAAGCTGCAGTGCTTTTATAATGTTACGAAATTTAATTAAAACGGATACTCGTTCTTATGGTCTAATTTTAGATCTTCCAACGCTTCTCCATTGTGGCGAATTCACTTGAGATCTGCATCATTGGACAATACAATTGGATGAAGCTATAAGGACTGCCGGTATCGAGCCAAGAAAAAAATTTCAGACATTTTAGGGATTTGCTACGATTTTGACTGAAATCAACACTTACCATATCTTGAAAGTATACTGCCTCTCGGTCAACATTGTCTTCCTCCAGCTCTGTCACCGTCTTAATAGGACAGTTTCTCCATTAATAGGACAGTTTTGCTCCATTTTTCCGCATTTAAAGCAGGAACTCGGTGTGCGTCGCGACTCTTTTCAGTATTTTGAGAAATGCCCATAACGCACAGTGTTTCGACTATATGGAGGCAGGCGGAAATAATAGTACACCTTTCGGATTTTTGCTGCCACACCCGATTCTCCAGCTGACGGAATACGTCCGTGACACTCAATGGCTTCTTGAATTCCGCGTTCAGCTTGTTCTTTGGCTCTTGCCATGAGCTGGCACTGGCTATACGCATGAATATTTTCCTGTTAGTAGGCATCTTGCCATGATTAATTTCGTTTCTTCATCGTTGTCGTACACCTTCTTAGTGACCCATTTTTCAATACTTAATTTATCATCGTTGCTGAAACTCGGAATCATTTTTTCCGATGTCGCTGAAGTAGATTGGAAAACGGTAGTTAGTTCTACCGCACTCTAACCGTTTTATTTCTGCTTATAGTATACGTAGTATAGGTATCACAAAGGACAATCTTACATTGTCTAAGTGAGCTCCGGTTACACGAGGCTGCCACCTTACCTATACGTAGTATACGTGGGCGCCTTTCGAGCTGCACCTCTATTTCCGCTAGGTCTGCGCCGTCGGCTGCATGGTTGTAGTGGGCCGCGGGGCTTGCGTAGTTGCTGTGGGGCGTGTGGTCTGCATAATTAGTTGCAGTCGCCATCGCGGTCGATTTATCGCGCTGATTGATATTATAATTGCTGTGGGCCACGAGATCTGCGAAGTCGGTCGCAGTCACCATCGCGGTCGCTTCTGCGATCACGTCGAGAACTTCGTCGTTTTGTGCCGCTTCATTTGCGTCGTCGTCTGCAGCCACTGCATGTGGCGTATGTCAGAGTATTCTAATATAAGTTAACGATTTTCTTTTGTTAGAAAATAAAAAAAACCGTTTTGTTGGTCAAACGACCAATCTGCTTGAGCTTTATTAAAAGACTGAATTATTACAAACATTTCACTTACTGGCTAACTTAGGGCCAATTTCACAATGCGTAGTTAACTCAGAATCGAGAGTTAACTACAGATTTGTGTACTGAAAATCGCTAGTTAACTGTCGATTCTGAGTTAACTACGCACTGTGAAATTGGCCCTTAATTGCTTAACCTAATTAACTGCACCGGCCTGTTGTTTGTTGTTGTCGCAAATTCCCTGAGTTTGCGAACTTCAGCTGCGCATGTTGGTTTGGCTTCCGCTCTCACAATAATACGTTCTTCTGCTGACTGCGCGTCTGCATTTTGTTGGGAAATATTGTGCAATAGGAGTTGCACTTCCGCTGTGCTAAACTTATTATTGCTGATTGCTAATTTAATAAGCTTAGCGAATGTTAACATTTGTTATGTTAACACTTCCCCTCTTAAAAACGATCGTCCTCGATCGTTGTCAGAAATACGGCAAGTTGTTAAAATTTATGTAAGTTTGCTGATCGTTAGAAAAATCGTTGACTTTATTTAGGTTTAGATTTGCTTGAGGCATCTGATTAGCATCCAGATTCGAAGATATTGTTATATTATTTTGGTGCTTTCTCCAAAGTTTGCAAAAAATTATTATGACTACAATGGTAGTTGCAACTGCTCCGAGAGAAAGTGAGCTATTGGATATTGTTGCTGCCTTGAGAAGATTTATTCTCCGTATATTGTTTATATGAAATTCTTTTAAAGCTTCGAGAGAAAGTACGAGTTTTTTCGATTGGCGCAGGTTGCAAGACTGCTGGGATAGCGGGCGGTGGAATCGGATCATAGTTGATGTAAGTTTGGTTATTTATTTTTAGGGTGGAGTTATGAAAATTGATAAGTTGTGTCCCTGACACATTTTTTTGTATACCGTTAGCGTCTATTTGTCCTTGGAAGCCATTGAGTAGTAGAATACCAGTTTTTATTTCTTCAATTTGTTGAATGTGGTGGCCGTTACTTATGGTGCAAGTTGAATTTAAACTATTAATTATTCTAGGTAAACAACTACTATTACTTATATTGACTAACTATTTACAAATCTCAATTTTCTTATAGCTATCGCAAAAATTCTTTATTCCATAAGTTTCTTTTGTTCCTTTTAATATTTTTTCAAATTCGACATTAATTATAGTTTTATTTTGTTTAACAACTGGTCTTACAATAATTTTTTGAAAATTTTCTTTAATTGTTAGTGGTATCTTTACCAAGTAAAATATTGTCATATTTTTGCTAATAATATTTATATTTGATATTTCTAATGCTTCTTCCGCATTTTTAAATGGTATTTCATCGTTTTCCAGTTTTTCAAAAGCAATTTCCATTTCATCCTTATTTAATAATAATGTATTCAAAATTTCTTTTTTGCCCATTGTATGACATATTTAATATTAGTTAATTCTTCTTTAATTAGCCTTATTCTATTTTGCAAATTAATAATTGTTTCATTTTCTACGTATGTGTCTTTTCTAATGTTATTAAAGAGACTATTAACTATCGTGGTAATATTATTAATTTTTTCATTAAAAATTTCATTTATAAGTACTTGTTTATTATTATTATTATTCATTTGATTAAGGTTGTTTGTTATTATTCAGTTTCTCTTTATCACTCGATTTGCACGGCTGGTTATTCTCTGACAGTGTTTTTTTTTTAAGTTTTTTTTTGAAATCAAAACTTAAAGGATAATTGAAAAAGTTGTATGATTTATACTCCAAAATATCTACGCTCCTATTTCCTCGTCGGTTTTAAAGTACTATACACGAAATGGGTTCAATAATAAAAGTTCTACTTGTACTCCTCGTGGTCCTGGCCGTCTTTGTACATCGGCTTCATTTATTGTCAAGTTCAGCGCCGCTGCCTGCATTAAGCGATACGAGTGCTGCTAATTACAAGGAGAATACCGACATAAAAAAATTTGATATAAGCGTTAAACCAAATGTAATAGAAGATCTCAAAGCACAGCTGTCACAACCACTCGTTCTACATCAGCCACTAGAAGGAATTGGCTTTCAATATGGATTCAATTCGAATTACCTTGAAAAGGTGGTCGAATATTGGCGGGACAATTACCTGCCCAAGTGGAGTGAACGCGAAGCTTTTCTCAAACAATTTCCGCACTTTGAGACACAGATTCAGGGTTTGCGTATTCATTACATTCATGTGAATCCAAAATCCACCGAAGGTAAGAAAGTGATTCCTCTGCTGCTGCTCCATGGCTGGCAGGATCTGTACGCGAATTTTACAAAATTATTCCGCTGCTTACGAAACCGAACCCCAAGAGCGCCTACGTTTTCGAAGTGATTGCACCTAGTTTACCTGGTTATGGTTGGTCTCAGGGCGCCTCAAAGACTAACTTTGGTCCAGCTCAGATGGCTGTGGTTTTGCGTAATTTGATGTTACGTTTAGGACATGACAAATTTTTAATACAAGGTGGCGATTGGGGTTCCATAATCGGATCGCATATAGCCACTCTGAGACCTCAAAATGTACTTGGTTATCATTCAAATTTTTGTTTTAGTAACCACCAATTAACGTTGTTATATAAATTTGTGCGCTACCTGTTGCCATAATACTTCATAAAAGACGAATACAAAGCTTTCTTTAAACCATTGGGCGAAGAGTTTGCGTTCATCATGGAAGAGACCGGATATCTACATATTCAAGCAACCAAACCAGATACTATTGGCGCCGCGCTTTCGCAGAACCCCGTTGGCTTGGCTGCATACATTCTAGAGAAGTTCTCTACTTGGACCAATCCTGAAAACAGAAAACTTGAAGATGGTGGTTTGACTAAACGTTTCACGCTGGATGAGCTTTTGGATAACATTATGATCTACTATATGTGACCTGGTCTACGGAAAGGGGGCTTAGGTGTCAAAAAATCAATTTTCACTTTTTGGTTGATTCGGATGGAAGATGAGATGCTTTTTCACGTGGTGAAAAGCGGAAAATCCTAACTTGCTTAGAAGTGTACTAAAAATTTTTTTAANAATGTTCCACACTAGCAACTTACACGATGAACTATAATAATATTCCGACCAACAACAACACTTACTGGACCAACAACAACACTTACTGGACGTCCGGCGCGGAGAACAATTAACGAGATAATGAGAAACTCACGAAACGAGTTGCTTACTTTTAACAGCTTTTTCACAGAAAACTAGTTTTCGCACGTAAGCTCCCTTTTCGTAGACCAGGTCACATATAACAAATTCGATAACCACAGCGCAGCGTTTGTATTCGGAAGGATTCAACATGGCGCAAATGGGCTTGAACCTTGAAGAAGGTGGCCACTTTGCAGTCATGGAAGTACCGAAGTTACTCTATCAAGACTTTGTAGAGTTTGCCGAAAAAGCTTTAGCCTATAAGTTATAGTCAAATTTTGTGATTTAATCACTTATTAGTATGTAGATTTTCTCTTTCCTGCACAAACTTGGAGTTTTCTGTTTGAAATTTGTTGGGAAAATAAAATAAAAATTATATTTTTATAAACTATACAATTTATGAGGCTATGAGGGCCAGAGGATCCTATCTACAAAAAGATGTATTTAGTAATATGAGAAAGAAGGATCTATAAAAAATAAATTCGGTATTTTACTAAAAAGTTCATTGCACCTGCGTGATGCTACATACTTTAGTAAAAGAATACTAAAAGGGCGTCGTGCCTCGGGCTATTACCGTATCGATTCTAGCCATGTATTTTAAGGTGCACCTCAACTTTTTTTGAACTGTTAGTTGGGTTACTCTGGCGCTCACGGCCGCATATGTTAATATTAATTTAATTCCAATTTCGGAAAAGATGGTACTCGTACTGACGAAAGTCAAAATCACTGTGCGATGGTTTAACCTCTCAGTACAGAAAATCAGCCGCTGAAGCTAAAAACCTGAAAATTTGTTCATCGGCTAATTTTGGGTTATTGATTTCAAAAATACAAAAATTGTATAAAGCTCTTAGTTTTACCGTCATTCAACGTCCATTATATTGGACAGTGGTACTCTAGATTTGTAAACAGGGAAGTGATATCAATAAAATTTCTTTTGCGGATCTCAATTCCACTGAAAATTACCTCCAGATCTTCGTGATCGGGGCTTCCGGCGATGAATTTCCATGCCGTTCCTAAAATATTTATAGCTCTTTTTTGTCTTTTCCCGATTGGTTTTATAGTATCTAAAATTTGCAGTGATTGGGTTAATTCGTGTTTTACGATAGGGAAAAGGATATTGTCTTTAGGTATGTCGGTGGAGATGAATCTGTACATGTCCGTCAGAAATTGTTCGTATTTGCTAAGGTCGATTATATGTATAAGTCTGAAGGCTCCGTTCTGAATTTTAGCTATTCCGTCATTTATTGTCACAAGCTGCGGGTTTGTATAGTCGTAAATGTCTACTGTCGCAGTGGCAGAGTAAATCAACAGGAGTCTGAAAATGAAAGGGTAAATTTTAATTTCTAATATTACTTTTATGGACTACTCTTCCTGTTTCCGTTAAAATGGTTGAATTTCTGTCTTCCTTTACTATTTCTTTTTTAAATTTAGGGGAAATTTTCGTACCTATTCTTTTATTGATTTTCACATATACGGCTTCTCCTGGGTGATAAATTTTTATGGGATGCCGGGTTTTATTATGATAAGAAAGATCTTTTAGCTGCTTATTTCTTAACTCAGAGATATTTTCTTCCCTTGCTCTTTCGAATTGTCTTGGGTCAGTGGAGACTCTTCTCCCGAAAAATACCTCTATTGGTCTCTTTTTTGTTGTTGAGTGAATTGTATAATTATATTCGTAGACAGAGTTGTCGAGAAGTTCGGCGAATGAAGTGAAGATGCGTTCTGCTTTTAAGCAACGCATTATTTCTGTGAGGGTCGAGTGGAATCGCTCTACTTGACCGTTGACGGAACTAGAATAAGGCGGTGTTCTGAAAATTTTTATGTTTAAAGTACCCTCTATTAAAAATCTTATGGAAGCTGAGTTTAGGGATGTTTCGTTATCTATTACGACTGATTCGGGTACGCCAAATTGAAAAAGTAATTCACGGAGAGGTTCCTTAACGTGTTCTACTGCTCTTGATTTAAGTATTTTGGTTTGAGCATATTTCGAAAATTTATCTATTGCTGTCAGGACTATATTTCGGTCGGTCATGTAAATGTCGATGTGTAAAATTTGTCCAGGGAATTGGGGTATAGGAGTTTCTCCTAATTCTGGTTTGCTAGGATGTCTATCATATTTATTTTCTTTACAAGTTGCACACTGTTGAAAAATTCTTTTTATCTTTTTTGTCATAGCGGGAAAGTAATAATTTTCTAAAATTTGACTTTTATTTTCTCGGCAATTCCTATGTGCTCTTTTATGGGTCTTTACTATTATTTCTTCCTGTTCTTGTTCATCTGTGACATCTTGAACTTGCATTTGAGTAAATCTGATCTTGTAGCTACTAAAGTGAATTGGGTATATTTCCTGAATTTTGCCCATAATTCGTTCTTCTGTCTTGATACAGTTAACTACGGAGGGGTTAAGGTATCTTTTTAGGCGGTTTATTAAAATTTCTGGATTATATTCTGGCTCTTCTAAAATGTGTCTGTGGTATGTGGGGAATACTATTTTAAATTGGTACGTTGAATTTGCTGCTACTTTCAGAAACAGTTGGATTTTAAAAACATTTATTGGAGTCTCTACATGAGGGATTAAGTTATCTGACGAGCTTTCGTCACTGTGTTGGGTAACGGATTAGGAATTTATTGGTTCGGGTGGCGTCCTTGATAAAGCGTCGGCCACAACGTTGGTTGTACCTGGTTTGAAATGGATTTCATGGTTATATTCTTCCAGAGTGGCTTTCCAGCGTTTCATTTTTGAATTATTGTTTTTGTTACTAAGAACTTGCGTAAGAGGTTGATGGTCTGTAAATATTTTGACCTTAGCTGAGCCGTAGAGGTAGTTTCTAAAATTGTTTAGAGCCCATATTATAGCTAAAAATTCTTTTTCATTTGTAGCATAGGCTTCTTCGGTTTTATTGAGCGTTCGAAAAATGAAAGCAATTTGTTTTTTTATCTTGAGAAAGGACTGCACCGATGGCATAATTTGAGGCATCGGTTGTTAAATGGAATTCTTTACTGAAGTCGGGGTATGAAAGTATAACATCATCCGACATGAGGGATCTTTTAATTTTATTAAAAGCGTCTTTTCCTTCTTCATTCAATTCAATATTTATTTTAGCTGATTTGTTTTTGGATATACGCCCTTCTTCCCCTCTTAAGAGTATTGTAAGGGGTTTGGCCAACATGGCGTAATCTTTAATGAAACGGCGGTAGTAGCCGGAAAGACCTAAAAATGAGCAATTGCTTAATGGTTTGCGGGTAAGGTATTTTTGCAATTGCTTCTACCTTCGCAGGATTCTTTGTTATTCCTCTTGAGGAGATTATAAATCCTAAGAACTCTACAGAGTCCCTGAAAAAATGACATTTATCCAGTTGGATTTTCATATTGGCGTCTTCGAGAGTTTTAAGTGGAGAGCGTGCTCTTCTTCGGAGTTGCTGAAAACGACTATGTCATCAATATAGACGTAGCATATTTTGCCGATGTGATGACGAAGAATGTCATCTAGGGCTCGCTGGAATATTGAAGGGGCGTTTTTGAGTCCGAATGGTAATCTCGTGAACTCGTATTTGCCATTATTGATTGAGAGAGCCGTTTTCTCAATGTCGGATTCCATGAGCGGGATTTGATGAAATCCGCTTTTTAGGTCCAACACAGAAAAATATTTATTTTTCCCAAGTTGGGACAATACTTCGATTATTTGGGGTATTGGGTAGCGGTCTGCTACGGTGACGGATAGTATCTTGTATAAACGGGAGTGTCCTTATTAGTTCTAATTTCGCCTACAACTTTAGTGGTGTATGTAAGTTTGTCATTTGGTTCCGCAAAGAGGTTAGAAAAGTTTTCCACTAAATTATTGATTTTATTTTGTTGACTTGGTGACATGTTGTCTTCCTTAAGATCAATTTTGTTAATTGATCCTGAAGCTAACTGTTTTATCCTAATTTTTGTGTTTCCTTTTATTTCCATGAAGTTATCCTTGACGTGGATAACAGCTTCGAGTTCCTTGAGGCTGTCGTTTCCCAGGATGCCATGGAACGATCGTAATGTGGGGAGAAGATAAAATTTAAATTTGTTATCTGCTTTAAAAAGATTAAGGAAGGTATGTTCCTTAATTTCGATGTCTCCTGTTATTGATTTCGCAAATAAAATTTTTTCATTTCTGATTGGCTTGGGCACGATAGAAGGTTGAATGTAATTTTTTTGTATACCCTGTGTCTATTAAAAATTTTACAGTTTCTCCACTCTTCAGCCTGCAGTCAAAGTAAGGCAGCGAAGAGTGATTCATTCTAAAAAATGTAAGTCCGTTGTGTCTATGTAGTCGTATTCCTGTCGTACTTCACTGTTGGCGTTGTTGGTATAAGTTTCGTCATCGTAATAACCTGCACTTGTCTGTTCGTCATTTGTCATGGTGGGGTAATATTCTTGGGGTTGGTCGGAATCTATGTGGAAATTCCTTTGGATTTTGTTTGGGGGAGCTGGTGCTGGAAGATTGCCAGCAGGAGGTCTTTTATTAGTTGGGTCATTAGGACGTGGCCTATTCATATAATTTATGTTGCGTGTGATGTCCATTGGTTCTGGACGTGGCTGTGGCTTTTGCAAAGGACGTGGTGGTGGATTGTTTGGCTGCTGACCATAATAATTAAGGGCTAACTATAATATGAATAAGCTGTCGTAACTGACTGTCAGTAAATGAACGAAAAGTCTGTCAAATGCATAAGCAACGTAGTGTAGACTTTTAGGTGGCTATATTTTACTTACATGAGTTCAGTGTTGCCACATTTAGTTAGATATAATGATAGCCACTATCAAGCAGTTTGTTGTAGATCACACAATTATAGTAACCTAGAAACGCCGAAGAACTGTTCGCCTTGTGAAACTTTCAGGATAACCTGGTGTTTCTGTAAAAGGAAATGCTTACGGCCCACTTCCTAATGTGGAACCAGAATTTNCCAAAAAGTGTATGGGAAAATACTCACACAATTATAGTAACCTAGAAACGCTGAAGAATTATTCGCCTTGCGAAACTTTCAGGATAACCTGGTATTTCTGTAAAAGGAAACACTTACGGCCCACTTCCTAATGTGGAACCAGAACTTCTTTTAACCTATGTTACATGTAGGACTGAATCGAAAAAGTTACCAAGTTGAAAAATAAGTTACCAAATTACCAAATATGAAAAATAAAGAAAAAAATTACCAATTTCGTTAAAAAAAATCCAATGCGGCAACACTGCATGTGTTACATATGTACATACTAAACTGCTGCAGGAATGCATTTCTTTGCAG